GATGTGCGATCACGCGTGGCGTCGGCGTCACCCCCGCAGGGGCGACGCGCGCACCAGGAAATCCTGTGGTATATGCGTCGTGGCGGGCGCTTTCTGGCCACACCGCTCGTGAGACGATATACTAGAAGATGGGTATACTATATGTTCGGGTCGGCCGCGCCTCCAAGGAGGACATATAGTACTAGTGTGTCTTTGTGCCTCCCATGGCGGTGCAGTCACCAGACGCCGGCACAAGGACCACTGAGGGCTCATGGGAGGGGCTCCGGATGTCGGGCCGACTTGCCTGGGTCTGAGGTATGAGGAGCCTCTGCGTGGCCGCGGCCGCGGCCGTGGCCAAGAACATTTTGGCTCTGCGTTCCTTGCGCTGCGTTCCTGCTGGTAGCACAACTCGAAGCAGAAGAAACGCCATACATCACCGAGCGCGTTCCACTGCTCGCAAAATGCATATTCGCGAACGTCCGAAAAACATATTCGCATTGACGTAATATATCGGTCCTGCCCACTCGCAAAGGTAAAAGGGAGCGGGAGGTTATTTGAACCACGCCTCCCTCGTGTGGGTCCAAGGGAGCGTCGCGTAGGCCTCCGCGACCTGGCACCACCTTCACCCGTTTACTGGGAAGACCAGCCACAGGAAGAGAGCTGAGGCAAGTCCCGCCGCACAGCCAAGCGCGCCGTACTGGGCCGAAATAACCTCATGGGGCGAGATCGCTGTAGAGGTCGAGCTTGATGTCGCAGAAATCTGGATGCGCGAGTCTGACTCCTACTCTGAGGTGCTCGAGTCAGCATTTGAATCGTTTCACATAGCGCTCCCATTGGTCACGTTGGGCACCATCGCCACTGCCTTGGACGTTTGCTTGGGCATTTGCTTCCGCGGGCAGTGGCTGATGTACTTACTCACGTTGCCAGTGATCGCCTTGTTGGAGATCATCGCAGGCTCCAAGATGCTGGCCGCTTCTCCCCAGGTCACCTCCTTGGGCAGCGTCTTCTTCTAAATAGCCAGCAGCGATTGCAACCACCCGTGCTCAGCACGACGCAGGATGCTAAAGGATCACGGCGCCTCCGCAACTGGTGTAGGAGAAGCTTCGCGACCACCATCATGTGGTACAGACTTTGGGGTCTTCGACTCGGGCTCGGCGTCTAGGAGTTTCGCCACTCCGCCTGGGCCAAGTACTCGCCCTGCTTGCGCAGGCGTCGCTCCTCGGCCCAGTTCCTCTTGTCCTTCACGAGAGCTTGGTACTCGGGGTCGGCCTGCCGCTGTAGTGGTGGTCTCCACCGAGCGAGACCTCGCACGCAGGTCACGATCACGACCATCATGCCCAAGATCTCGCCCTTCTCACCCACGATCGCGCCTATCACGCGAGGCGTCGCGACGATCGCGCTCGCTGTGGTCACGCTGATCTCCCAGGCGCCCTGGATTGCCACGCCGACCCCGACTGTCTGCCCAGAAGTCTCGGTTGTCACGGCGATCGCGGTCACGGTCCCGATGACCACGTCGCCCGCTGAAGTCGCACCGCCCGTCGAAGAACCTCTAACGCACATCGCAAACACCTCCACGGTGGGTCCACGAAGGTCGGCGTCCTTCTCCGCCCATGGCGGTGTCCATCACGTGTGAGGAACGCCACGGTCGCAAGACAGCTCGAGCATTCTGGATGACGACGGACCAGGTGCGCGCGCGGGCCGCAGCACATCAGAGGCCTGACGGGGGCCCTATACCCAAGATGTCGTCCACATACCTGCGTTGTCGTATTCTGATTGTGCTGGGTGAGGATGCAACCGCAAAGCCTGATTAACAATGGTTCAGGAGGAAGGGGATGACGAATGATACGATGGCGCATACATGCCGATGTTGTCTACGCTCCCAAGTCCATGCGCGAATCTGAGCTCATACTTCGCAATGTGTGAGACGGAGTCCTTTTTTTCGACGTGCGCAAGAGAAACTTTTAATGATTTCGCAGACCTGGGGCTCTTCTGTCGGAGATGGCATAAGAAATCGGGTGGCCTCTAATGCGTTCCCGGAAGAATCCAGACACGTCAACTCAGGGGCTTATCCAAACGCCCCACCACCAGCGAGTCATGAAGTACCCGTTCCCCGATGTGTCCGATTCTGAGTCTGATTCCATCGCGTGGCCCGCCAGGACCTGTGTCGGAGTCGACAGGAGCTAATTGTCGGCCTGTTCGATCCGATAACGCATTCCTTGACGGTGGCGCAAGCTGTCCTCCAAGATCCACAGGTATAGGCCAATCATCGGGTAGGTCATCGTAGCCAGCTTCACCAGGCTGCGTATCCATCGACGAGAGCGAAGCGCCACACATTCACGAAGTATGTTGAACAGCACGTCGTCTTCCAAGGTCGTGGGGGTCGTATGAAGCGCTGTTGAAGATGGAGAGGAAGAGGACGAACAACCCGCTCTTAGTAGGACCCCAGAACGTGTACCGTACAACACTGGCGCGCGAATTTTGGCTTCCCGCAGCCCGCTCGGGGCCGTGTCAAACCAAGGGCTGAGAGAACCCCTGTCTGCGTACAGTGAGCGGCTTGAACAATAAACGCTTACTTTCCAAAAGGTGCTGGGTCGTTCCGTAGGTTCGCATGCGTTATTCATCGTTCCTCATGCGTTCTGTATTATTTATCGTGCCTCATGCGTTACTCCTTGGAAGAAAGGGGCTTCGTTCCTCATTTGTCGTTCCATAGGCCAGGCCGATGACCGTACCACCACCCCTGCCGCTGATGTCGCTGGCAATCTCGAGCCTCTCCCGTTGGAGGCGGGTGCCGCGGACCGAGCTGTGAGCACACTTCTGGGGGCCCGGCCCGCATCGAGACGCCCGAGGGAATACGGCGGCGGCGAAGGCCAAGCTAGCAAGCAGGCGCACGAGGGGAACAAGCAGAGGAGGTGGGGAAGAGAGAGATAGAACGAGAGAGAGAGAGGGAGAGAGATGGATAGACCACGCCAAAGATAGTGAGAGGGGAGAGAGACGGAGAGAGAGAGAGAGAGAGAACGAGAGAGGGAAAGCGAGAGAACGAGGGGGGGAGAGAGAGGGAGAGAGAGTGAGAGAGAAACGAACCACAACAAAGAGGAATACAAACAGAGAGAGAGAGAGAGCAGTCTGCTGGCACCTCTACATACGTTCATACATTTGTATATACACATATGTATATGGTTGTTGTGTGCATCTATAGAGTGCATGGGAGAGAGCGATGAGAGAGACATTCCGTGATACAGATTTAAGCACGGATGGACATAGCGAGCGAGAGAGAGAGAGAGAGTGAGTTAATATATATATATATATATGTATATATACATATATATATGTATATATATAGAGAAAAAGAGAGCGCTAGAGAGAGGTAGGGATATATGTATATATAGAGAGAGAGAGAGAGAGAGATAGAGAGAGAGAGAGAGAGAGAGACACAAAGGCACCCAAAGCAGATTAACAATAGGCCTCACAGCGCCGCAGGACCAACTGGAGGACGTACGACAAGTCGTTGCTTTGCATCTTGACCCTGATCTCCAGACTTTGGAGGGCCATGGCGAGAGCGATAGCTGGAGCGGGGTGAACGCGAATAGCACTCATGCTACGTAGACAGATAGATGTTGACAGGAAGTTTGCCACTACATCACGGTGCCCTTTCCTCCTCCTCCTCCTCCTCCTCCTACTCCTCCTCCCTGTCGTATGACCACCCAGTGCGAGGCGAGCGATGCTCCATTCAATTGCAGACCCTCTCGGGCGACGCATCTTGGACCCCGGTGAGGCTGGGCACGACTTGCTAGGCATTGGGGCAGGGCACCCCCACGTGGAGGCTCTGCAAGCTTTGCGACCCTTCGTACATGAGTGCCCTCAGAACCTCATTTGGGACAGGGCTACCTTCCCTGTCCCTTATATTTTCCAGACTTGGGCTGTCCATCATGGGTTTGCATCCTGCTGTCCACAGCTCTGACAGGGATTACATGTTCGGTTACCGACTACTGCTTCCAAACAGCGTGAGGATCCTCCATTGGTGGAGGATTCGCAGATGGTAAGAAGAGCGGTCTGCAATTTCGATGGTTGCAACTTTCTTTGGCAGCGTCCCCAGGCCGGCTGCCTATTTTCATTGCTTTCCGAACTGTCGTTTCTAGCGCTTCGCACGGTCCGCCGCTTTCTCGTGCATATGCTTTGGGCCGCCTGGGACTCAGGGCTAGGCCTCTCTTCGCTGGGGAGGGTGCCAGTCGGACCAGGAGTACGCCCCCTGGCTCTCGGGATAAAAGCCTTCAGCAAGACGGCGCGCAGATTGCTGCAACGCCATTTCTGACTGACCTCCTTCCCTGCTCACCTTGTATCCCTTCTCCCTTCTCCCTGCTCCTCCGCCTTCTCTGTCATCAGTGGCTTCTGCCTTGTCCCTCGTTCCTGCCTTGCTTCTCCCTCCTTCCTCCCCCATCTTCCCCCTCTCCTCCCGCCCCCTTCCTCCCTCGTTCCTCCTTCTTCCTCTCTCCTCCTCCTCCCTCCCCCCTTCCCGCTACGTGCTTCCGGATCCTTCCTCCGTAGCCGTTTTGGCTGAAGGTTATGTGTTCCACAGGGGAACAAGTGCGTGCCGCTGGTCCGCGGCTCGCTTCCACATCCTCCAGTCCTGTCTCGGGGCCAACTCCGATTCTGATCGCACTGCTGCGTCACGGCTGATGGAGGGAGTGCTGGCAAAGAGCACAAGGACTGGCATTGCAGGTCCTGTGCGCAGCCGCGGGGAGGGAAGAAACTCACCAACTGGGGCAGCACTCTCGAGTGCCACGGATGCAGGCTGCACAAGAAGGGCTGCTCTGGAGGCGTGGCCGTCCCCGAATTCCCCAGCCAGCGCCCCTCGCGCAGACCGTGGGAGAAGGCCGTGGGCGGCACGGGCTCCAGCACGCAGGCTGCCGAGTCCAAAGCCGAGCGTGCCCCGCAGGCGGCGCTGGCGGAGCTGGCCGCCAGCAGGAAATACCAGTCTGGCGCGGGGCTGGAGGCCGCCTCAGGCGGAGGTCGATGGTGGAGCGGGATCGAGCGAGGCGGCCAGTCTGGCAGCCGAGGCCACGGTCCTGGAGTCCAACCTCGCCATCGTCCAGCGGGCGCCGGGGGCGCGGGTGGAGGAGCAGCAGCAGGAGCCCAAGGCCGAGCTCGACGGGGCCAGGGCGTGCCTCGTCAACGCCGTGCCGCTGCATGCCTTGGGCCGCGCCCTCGGCAACCGTGTCAAGGCAGGAGCGGCGACGGTCGAGAAGGTCAATGTGGTTCTGGGGAAGGCCAAGCAGGCGGGCGAGGAGGCGGTCAAGGCTCTGCCGCAGGCTGGCGCACACCTTCAGGAACTCATGCAGCAGCAGGCGCAGTTCGAGGGCGCGCTGGGTCCGTTGCAGGCTTCGCTCGGCCACGCCGCGCCGGTATCGGAAGGGCGTGAGGCGCTCCTGCCTGCGATTGGCGCCACCACGGAGAAGCTCGAAGAGATGGGCAAGGCGCTCGCGGACGGCGGTAAGCTCAGTTCTGGCGGGCAGAAAAGGCCGGTTGAAGGAGTCGGAGGGTCGCCCAGCGAGCCCTTTCGCACCCAAGCGACTTCGGGCTGCTGCTGTTCCAGGCGGTGGCTCAAGCCATTTTGGCTCAAGGGATGCGGCTCACAGGCGATCCGGCTCGCAACTGATATCTGTAAAACCTTTCTTCCCATACTCTGTCCCACAATCTTGAATCTCTCGTCTCTCACACCCGCTTGTGTACGACTCTGGGTATTGCAGACATGGGGAAGGGCGGCAAGAGAAAGGCCGACTCGAGCACGGGCTCGACACCCAAGGGTAAGAACATGAAGGCGGAAGGGGGAGAACATGATAACGCCCCAGAAGAGGTAGACATAGATGCGGAAGGCGAGGAGGATGAGGACATGAAGAGAATGATGAAGATAATGATGAAGATCATAAGGGGGCATCAGGAAGGATAGGGAAACAACATGCACAATGCAGAAGAGACCAAGGGCATCGCACGCCAGGCGGACATATCAGCAAACATAACCGAGCAGGCGGTGGAGGAGATGAAACTAACAATAAACGTCGTCAAAGAAACAAATGAGAGCATTCAGAAAAGCATTCAGGATATGACGATGAACCTGAGCAGTGCAACCATGAGCAATAACCGGGACAACAAGCACACAGAGGACACGAACAAGCAGATGGTCGCACTAGGGTTCAAACGGCCCATGGAGTCCGCAGAGTGGATATCCAAGATGGAAGGTAGGATGAAGCAGATCGATGACGACATCAACATTAGTTACGTACAGACGTTTAGACACCCCACGAAAATGGCAATGGTAACGTTCCCGACCGTGTCAGCGAAAGTTCAGTTCTACAAAAAATACCACGGCAGGCAAGACAGTAAATGGTTAGATGGTGTATTTTTCCAAAAACAACCAAAGCACGGCGAAACATATTGCTGACAAACGGTTGGGCTACACGAACTACCACTTCTGCAAGGATCCGAAGCACCATAGCGACATGGTCCAGATCTTGTGGAATCAGCAGATGGTTACCGTCAACGGGAAGATGGTGGCGTGGCACGACGATCGCGGGAAAACGACTGCAATCGGCAAGTCTGCGGAGGAGAAGGCGGGCGATTCATTGAATAGTTTCCGTTCCCAAATCACTGCGGACCCAGACCCTGACACAGATAGTGATTTGTGAAGCCGAGGTTTCTGGCAGAACGCGCACACGTTTGCTGCAAGACGGCGACGCTAACATCCAGGCAGCACTCAACAAGGCAATGCACTTCTGTTCTTCACGCCCTCCCAGCTTAATTTTTCGGCAGGCATCGGGGCGCGTGTGCCCCTACCAGTACGGCTTCTTCAAAATCGTCATTTTCTTCGAGATGAACATGTTTCACCAGAAACGGTTCCACTCTCCACCCACCCACCTCCAAGTTCCACGACTCCCGCCCCAACCCCTCCGACTCCAGCTTCCAAGCTCCAGCTTCCTACCTCCGCGATGACGACATGTGTTCCACAGCAAGTTTCACATCCACATTCGTCTTCCGACTCCAGCTCCCTTTCCCGCACCCCTGGCTTTAGGATCGTGGTTCCCGACCGCTGCCGAGGAGATTCTGGTGACGAGGGTGATCGCGTTGCCCGGCCTCGCGCCCAGCTCGCGCGAGGGGGGCGTGGAGGAGGGCGACGATCTTACAGTGCCGTGTCAGGCGACGTTCCATCATGCATTTCGCGGCTGCGAGGTATAACATTAGACCCCAGCCAGGCTGCCTTCGCCGCGCACACTGTGAACAACCGCCCGCTGGCATCCACCTCGCAAGTTCAACCAGCCGACCTCCAACCGCCGGAGTCCGACTCCCACCGGCGTGCAATTCCACCAGCCTCCAGCCTTAGACCTCCGCCCGCCGACTTGCAAGCTCAACCGATCGACCTCTGACCGCCGGAGTCCGACTTCCATCCTCAAGCGCCGCCCACTTCCAGCCTTCGACCTCCGCCCGCCGACTCGCAAGCTCAACCGGTCGACATCCAACCGCCAGTCCGACTTTCAAAACCTAGCGCCGCCCACCTCCAGCCTTCGACCTCCGCCCGCCGGCTCGCAAACTCAGCCAGGCGACCTCCGACCATCAGAGTCCGACTCTCGCCCCCTAGTACCGCCCACCTCCAGCTTTCGACCTCCGCCCGCCGACTCGCAAGCTCCACTGGTCGTCCTCCAACCACTAGAGTCAGACTTTCACCGCCTAGCGCCGCCCACCTCCGGCCTTCGACCGCCGCCCGCCGACTTGCAAGCTCGACCAGTCGACCAATCGCCAGAGTTCGACGCCCACCGCCTAGCGCCACCCACCCCCAGCCTTCGACATCCACCCTCCGACTTGCAAGCTCAACCAGTTGACCTCCATCCGCCAGCATCCAGCGCCCAGCGCCAAGCACCGCCCACCTCCAGCTTTCGACCTCCGCCCGCCGACTCGCAAGCTCAGCCAGTTGACCACCGACCGCCAGAGCCCGATTTCCACCACTTATTACAACCCACTTCGAGCTTTCGACCTCCACCTTCCGACCCTCAAGCTCATCCAGTCGACCTTTCGCAGAATTCCGTCTTCCAGCATCCACCGCCATCTTCCTCTAGCCTTCGGCCTCCGCCCACGCCCACCGAGTCCCGAGTCCGCGCAATCGACCTCCGGCAACCAAGTTCCGAATCCCAACATCCACCACCGTGCCCCCCCGCGAATGCAAGAACAGACAGCAAAAGTTTGTAGTGTACCACAAAAGCTTTCTCGGGCTGTCGTCAGACGACCAGGTTTTCGAACTATGCGCGGAGCTCAGTGGTCTCGAATGGGATGCGCTTATATTAAATGAGAAATGGCGGACAGACAAAGAAGCATCTTGGCAAACACATGGGGCATGCATTCTTACCATCTGGTTACAGCGACTACCAACGTGGAGTGGGCATCATCATCAACAAGCGTTGGGTTCAACATATTTTCTACCCCCGTCAATGAGAGGATCGCATATGTTGACGTCGAAAGAGGATCAAGGACACTACGACTCGTCAGCGCAAATTCTCTTCGCAGTGGGTATGCCGACAAACGCGTGCAAGCAATGTGTAACATCTTGCCCCACATATACCTATGATCACACTCCTCACGCATGATGACAGTACTTGGCGCAGACTGCAACGCCCGCGCCAGGCGCGGAGCGCCCGAGGATTCACGACGCATATTGGGACAACATGGAGTCGGCCCAACGAATTTTCGCGGGCGGGTGCTCAAGCAACGGGCTGGGGCCCGACGGCAACGGGTCGCCAGCGCGTTCTTCTACCGACATCGCAACAAACTAACCGCATGCACTTCGCCAAAAAAGGAAGACATTCAAGTCGATGTTTTTATTATCAACCGTCGGGTTTGGAATATTGAGGCTTGTTGGGCCAATTGTGACGTAGATATGGTTTCAGACCACCGCTGTCTGAACTTATCTTGCGCATTCAGCATGAACAACCACGCGGCGACAAGAGCATTGCGACAGCAACGCCGACGACAACCGCGCTTTCCGACAAGCTCGACCCACTTTTGTTGGACGCGAAGATGCAGTTGCAATGTGAACACATCGAAGATTCAATCAAAGAGGTGCCGCTACAACTCCAACCGCCGACAGCCGACCGCCAGCGCAGCAACCGCCCAACCACCGACGCCTTCAAGCAGTTGCTCCAAGACGCAGCAGCACGCAGCCAACTCAACAAAAGCATTTGCAAAGAGATCAGAGCGATTATAAGAGCGACCCGCACGGCAACAATTGCAGACACAGTGTCAGAACATAAGGATCTGCGTCGGATCAGTGGATCGAAAAGCACCAGAAATAGCGCGCTCATCATTGGCATGACAGACATGCATGGCAGCACGCGTCACAACGGACCGTCCATTGCAGACGTTTTTGCAACATCCTACGAAACCTTTTATAACGACTTCGACCTTGCAGACTGCCGCGGCCGCTGCCAGCGAGAGCACGACGCGCAACCGGGCGCAATCCCACCAATCACGAGCAATGACTTTGAGACAGCTCTCCGGCAATTGCGGACCAACAGGGCCGCGGACCCTTCTAGGATACCAGCTGACATGTTGAAATCGGGAGGAGCAGTGCTTCATTCCGTTCTCCTTGACACGTGCAACAACGCCATCAAATTTGCCCCCCCGACACCCACGAGCTGGCGACGCGCGGTTCTCACGGTTCTGCGCCAGAGTGGGGGCCCAGCGCAGCCCAAGAACTACGCACCAATTGCGAGCATCCCAATGCTATGCAAACTCTTCTCGCGACTCCTCTGCGACCGATTAAATCCGCATCTGGATTGCCAGCGCAGCGCTGACCAAGCAGGTTCCCGACCAAGCCAGAGCACGTCTGAGCACTTGTGCACGACGACGGTTTTGCATGAGGTCGCAGACGAGTGGCAATTTCCAATGGGGTCAGCCGCCATGGACATCAAAAAGTTGTTCGACAGCATCGCGCACGACAGAATCTGGGAGTCGATGGCAGAACAGAGCACGCCAAGACTATGCATGCGTTTGCTATCAAAACTGCACGAGCGACAGACAGGTTCAGTCCGCGCAGACTGCCCCCGCAGGCAGTTCGACATCCTACGAGGAACGAAACAGGGAGATCCCCGTAGTTCCTTGCTTTTCAACTGCGTATCACAGAGTATATTGAGACGAGCCAAACCACATGGGCATCCAAGAACTACGGCTTCGAACATCAGTTGCACGCGGATGGCCGTCTCACCAATTTACGACTCGCAGACGAAATTGCATTACTCGCGAGGTCACTCAGTCACCTTACAGACATGCTCACCGACTTGATCGATCAGGCGGGCAAAGCGGGCTTGGAATTACACCCCAGCGAAGCACAGATCATGCACGACGGCCACCGGCCACCACGCGGAAATCGCGCCCCTGATTACGTGCACGTGCTCGGCATGAAGATCGAAGTGCTACCGCCCTACCGCGTTAGCAGTATCTGGGTCAGCAGTTGCAAAACAGCACGCCCCACGATGCGGAA